GATACAGTATAGAAATGATTATAGGGTGAAAAAAGTAGCATTGTATTATGAAGGTATGATATTAAATATATTTGTTGAGAGAGTATGAATGATGGAGAATACGTATGATGAATTAATGTATGAAGAGATTATGAAATAATCAAGGTAATGTAAAGATATTGTGATTATGTATCGAGAAGCAGTAGATGAAAGGTTATATAAAGTAATTATGGAAGATTGGTATTGGTAGGAAATATAGAAGGGGATTTGATATTGTAAATGATGAAGGATAGGGTTTAAGAATGATAGATGGAGTATAGAAGTAAGGTCATGTAAATTGATATTGATCAAGTTGATGAATTTGAAGTAGTTGAGTATCAGTATGGAAGTTGTTGAAAAGAGTATTGGTAAGGAAGTTGATATTGATAAAAGGAAAGAGTTGAAGGAGAATTAGAATTTTAGTAAGTATAAGGATTGATATTAGTATATATTGTTGGTATATATAGAGATTAAAGTGAATGATGAGTATAGAAGTTTGAGTACGATGTAAGTGAAGAGACGCGAATAGAAGGGATTACATGAATAGAAGGGAGGATATAAGGTATATTTGTGGAATTAAGGAGTGAATCGGATTGTAAGTATATGGTGGTAGTAGATGTATGATAAGTATAGAAGGATGGGTGAAGAAATTGATGGAAACTGAGAGTGTGATGATGGTGGATTGATGCAGTAGGTTATTATTAAGAGGGATGAATTGGGCAACTAGGTAGAGGAATGGAAAGGAATGAGATGAGAGGAAGATGTAAAGTGATAGGTTCATAAAAAGATTTAAGTTAGATGGTATGACGAATAGATGTTTAAAATATTAGTTGATAGATAAATTCAGTTAGGGGGGAGGGTCATACTGATAGGTGGATTACGTCAGCAGGGATCTCGACACTACCCGCATCAAGTTAACTGTTGGTGGGTCAACCTGGTACAGCTGCTCAAAATCAGCCAACGTCCCGCACGCAACATCTGAAAGATCTGAACTTACTGAGCGAACTGCTGTCACCTGTGAAGAGGGCTTGGAGTTCAGCTTTCTCAGGGCTTGGTATGCAGGACGAAGGTCATTTACTAAGAAATGGCCTTCTACCTCCTCTGCAAGACTCCTAATAAAACTGTTCCTTGTCCCTTCTTAACAGGGACCGAGTTCTGCGCACATGAGAACGGTGCAATTCCCGATCCCCTGTCAGACGAGCCGCACGACATGCATCTGGCTTCCAGTGTCTCCCGCGAGATGGAATTCTGTACTGCTCTCGGCGTACACCAATCGTATCTTGAGCTGCATCAAGCGTTTCACGCTTAAAGGTATCCCACAGAAGAACAGGGTCTGTCAGACTGCCAAGCACTGCGAAACGATCAGAGATTGCCTCAGCAAACCGCGGGCACACTCCCCCTCCCTCAGCCTGTCCAAATGAAACACCCTAGGTGATCATTTGACCGCTGGGGGGTTTTGAAGTGGACCCGGAGGGTAGCCACAACCAATCTATGGTCAGTACCACAGAACTCAGCACTCCTGTACACCCTGCAATTCTGAAGGATCCTCCAACGAGTGCTAACAAGTATGTGGTCGATCTCCTTGGCTGCGTTACCCGCATCACTGTACCATGTCCAGCGATGTGGGTCTGGGCGCTGGTACCAGGAGCCAGAAATCCTCAATTTCTGGGACCTAGCAAAGTCCCGGAAAAGGAGGCTATTCTCGCTACCGGCATCAGCTCCTGAACCATGGGGACCGACAGACATCTCATAGCCAGCTCGATCACAGCCAGATACCGCATTGAAGTCGCCCAGAACAATGCGAATATCTCGTCGGGACATCTGTCTGCCACAGATGTAAGTTTGGCGTAGAACATCTCTTTCACGTCAAGTTTACAAACATCGGTAGGAGCGTACACAGCAATAAGAGACATGAAGCCAAAAGAAAGCTTCAATC